CAAAGAAGTCAGTACCTATAATATTATATTATATTGAAATCACATAACTAGCTCAATCATCATAATTATCATTGACAAGACAATTCCCACTAAACACGGGCCTAATGCCGGTATTAATTTAACACGAAATTCAATTGGATCAGGCTCCTTTATATCGTATTCCTCATCGCCACTATTAAACATCTCGGCTGCCATCTTGGTGATTTCATGGCCCCATTTCCTTTGTAAACCAGTCTCGGAAATGATTGACTTTCTATATAATATAAGTTAAGTTAAATAAAGTGTAACCTAGCTCATTATATCTCAATTTTAAAATGACATGCTAACTAAAGCTAAATAATGAGGGTAAGTTTATTCGTTAAAAAACTTACATATCGTTTAACTTTTGAATAACAAATGGATGTAACCTTTGACCGTAAACTGTACCAACAAGGTGAAATAAATATTTTTCATCAGCTATATGAGTAGCTTTTATGCCGCCCTTGTCAATATTTCTATCAAGGTTGTGTACTAGACCATCAGGGTCAATAAATACGTGCGTTTTATTAATGACAATTTTCTCCCTGAACATATTTCGTTGTTTAGCAAATTTATTTTTGTTTGGTTTTAATTCGTATTCACTATCATTCATAGCGTTTCGTATTAATTGAATCTCCTTGCTGTTTCCAAATTTCTATATGATTTTGTAATAAACAATTAATTATTACTATTGGATATTAATTAATTAATTTAAGTTTAGCTAAAATGAGTTTTTTAATAAAGTAACAAATAAAAAATTTATTTTAAAAACATAGTGAACTATACAAACAAAGTTTTTATTTATTGAGCATGCATGATGTAGTGAATATTAATGTGTAGTAATTATACTTACTAATATTTGATTTATCCGTTCATCAGTGTACCAGATAATTGGTTTCAAATTAGGATTTTCAATTAAATCGTCCAATGAATCGATGACAGAATAATATGTATTTACAGTTGTGGACAAAATTATCGATGAAAATGCATTTAGTAAAATAAACACCATGAGCATAAAAATTCCGAATGTTAAACAACGGTGACGCTTTTTATAGTGAACTGTACATTTAAATAAAAGATATTATATTTTATTTTAATTGATTTGATTTTAATAAAATTAATTACAGCCCATTAATGACGCCCTAATCAAATGCCATAGTAAAGTGTAATAATTTTTAAATAAATTAGGACCCAGGTGAAACATATCATTATGCATTATTGGCGTGATTACCATTGATAGAAATATGCCAAGCCAAATCTATTTTTAAAATATAGTAATATATCATAATTTTATTAAATTATATTCAAAAATTATACCCATTTATCAAATATATAAAAAGTACTATCGAGTGAATCGTACGATTCATTTGGATAAAAACTACCCAGTATAGCTATTAATGGTTGTAAAGTAAGCCGATTGGTGTGCTTGATAAAGGTTGTCAGCGTTTCAGTAATAGGGGTGTCAATGAACAATATGTCAGTCTCCTAAATAAAATAAAAATATTATTTTATAATACTAGTAATTTTCGTATGTAAAAATGATAAAGATTAAATATTGTATTGCATAATCTGATTTACGTTATTAAACAAGGCTGAATAAAAGGGTCCAATAAGCTCGTCATTGATGGTCACCCTATGTCTGTTGCCTACAAACTTTACTATAGCACTGGGTATCAAAAAAACAAAATTTAAAATTTATATACTTTTAAGATAATAATATTATTTTTAATAATTACCTGAAATGTGTTCGACGAACTAGTTCCTTTATAATAAAATAAGCTGGTGAACATAATGGTGATATATATGGTCTGTTCTTGATCTTAATTTTTAAAAAATAAATTAACCATGATTATTTACATCACATAGCGAGAAATTATATTTCAACAAAAAAGTTATCATTTTGTATCTATGATTATCAAAAACTCAATCTGAACCACATTATCATGTTAACATTATCTCAATTCTGACTAATGTTAAAATGTTTGGCACTATTTGTTTGACCCGGATTGACACTATGATAATCATAGCTCTATATAACTTACTAGTAGCTTACTATACAGTACAATTAGTACAGTAGCAGATATCATGGGCATTTTAAAATATTGCTACGTTTTTCACAACACTATTTTTAATGTGTATCGTACATACAAAATATTATAATATGTTTATAATATTTAGATAAAATATAAATACTGATCCTTATAAATATTTAATTACGGTAAACAGTGTAGTTGTGTTGCAAAACATTGTATTATTATTATAATTAATTTATTGATATATTTACAAAATATATAGTTTTAACTAACCGCTTGACTCGATGTAAATGTAAAATGTCCAACCTGGGTAAAGTTATATCCAAAATTATAAACCTCGCCATCTTGCATGTGAAATAAACACTGACGGTTTGCCTTGATAATATCCATGAATTAAAATAAATTACGTAAAATTAATTAATAGCTACTGTTTAAAGAGGATATATTTATTGGATCTTGATAATACAGTATTATATTACGAGATTATATTAGCAATATTATATTAAATATGTTTTCGTAAAATGTAATTTCGTAGTAAATTAAACTGGCGTGGTCGATATAAAACTTTATTAATTAAATTAATTACTAGATTTAATTATTCTAATTAAAATATTTAATAAAATGATAATTATTTTATTCTAAAAGTAATCAACAAAATATATAGTATAACATAATAAAAATTATTATCATTAAAAGTGTTCATTAGGATATGTTTTTCATAAAATTCATAATACAATATTAATTTTTAGAAACTCAATAATATTTTTAAAAAAATTATTTTTCTGTTAATATTTTTTGTACAAAAAATGAATTTTAAAAGCGTTTTATTAATATAATTTATTATTATTATGTTCATTACATTTAATTAAATATATTTTTCTTTTTGGGTTTTGTATCTCATATATAATGTTAAAAAGATATCAAACATTTAGTTGTTATTAATATTTTTTGATATATTTTCATATTTGTCTATAGTAAACAACAAACAATATAATGATTATATTAATGTTTTTATTATTTTTATTTTTCAATTAAGTAGTTTAATTATTTAAATGATATACACAAATTATCGTTTAGAAATGTACTTTCAATAATTATTATCAAAATTTTTGAGAAATATACTGTAAAAATATACAAAAATAAGTTTATATGCACTTAACATTTTTAACAAAGACAATTGAATCACCTTGATCATAAACATCAGGGATTTCCTTTAAACATATACACAATTATAAGTAAATAATTTCGAAATTATCAAAACTTTTAACGGAAATACAAAATATATACACATTTAACGCACGTTTACTCGCAGTATATAAAGGGCTATAAAATTAGTTTCAAAAAATAATTGTTACGTTTATTTTAGTATCAATCACTGTATTGAGAATGAGGGCTATACTGTTAACCCTGGTGATTATTGCTGCAATTATTTGCTGTATGTTATAATTTAGAGATATTTTTAATTAATTACTTAGAAGTTAAATTATAAACATAAAATAATCGCTATGTTATAATTAATTACAGTTTGTACCTAAAACACAATGATGCTAGTTAATATTTAATATTTTATTCATAATAGCCATTGACGCTCAATATGAACGGGATGGCCTATTAGGTCGGGTGAGACCACTGATCCGCGAATATGAGTCCCATAGGGGTCGGTACCAAAAGACTAACCGCCAACTGGCCGCCAGACTCGACCAGGAGTTACGTGTTATACGTGAGTTGGAAAGGGAGCTCTCGAGGGCCAGTCGTACGCTAGACCAACAGCGCTACCGGGCCTACGAGCAGAGGTATTTCAGACACCAGAGCCGGTTGAAGGAGCTGTTAGGTTAGGGACAGGCGTTACAGATATTATTATATCAACAGTGAATACAAAACACGCGTTGAACTCTGCTTTAATATGACTGAACACTATTGGTCACCATTATAATGGTGGACAATATTGTTTAGTCATATTAAAGCAAGGTGTCTCAAATATTATATATTTTTTGTCTCGTATAATTGAATTGTACATGTTATGAATGAATAAATTTTCAGTTTAAAAATAATCTATAATACATGTTTTATTTTATCGCATCAGATACTCATTTTAATTATAAACAATTTGCTTTCTTTAAAAAATAAAATATGAATAAAACATTATACTAATTAATTTTTATAATACGCAATATTATTTGAACTATGTATGCAAGTACTGTATTATTATTATATGTTGTTATTATTATTAAAATACTGTAATATAATATATTGATTAATTTATGAAATGTTCAATTCATTTCTTATTTTCAAAAGAATTTTGCTTGAATCATATACAAGTTTATAGTTCATTTTTATTATAAAACATGTTCATAACACAGTGAATTAATAAATTAATAATTAAGTTGCATAAATTAATAATTCATAACTATTTGTAAGGAATAACAACTATATTATAACTCATAAAATTTATGTAAATTATATTCTTATATATTTTCAATTAAATTATTTAAATATTGTACTTTAATTAAAATGTTATTAATCTACAGTATTAATGTTTATTATTGGCATAGCACATTCTAAGTATACTCAAATTAAAATATTTTTTAAATTAAATAGATCTTATAAATAGATATTTAATAATAAATCAATTTAATTTTTACAAGATATTTTAAATGAAATTTTAAAATATTATCGTAGAGTATAATGAATAAATATTAACAATCATTATGAATTATTTTAGCATACTTTTGTATATGTTATGTTTGTGTGGATGTGTGTATCAAACGTATAAAATAAGTTTATTATACTTTTCGTACGAAACCACTACTAATGTTAAGTATGAGTCCACCGGATGGGTATCATTACCGGGTTTTACTATTTGCGTTGATAAAGGTTTATTAATAAATGATTGGAGCATCAAGCACAATTATACCAAACAAAACAATCAATTTGATTATAACAATTTCAACAAAAAATACACTATTGGTCAGCAATTCAATATAATATTACCTAGTACAGATCAACCTAGTTTTACATGCACAATCCGACATGGTCAGTACTGGATCAATTATATTAAACTTTACAATTATACACGATCAATTACTGGTAATAAACATTGTTGGACATTGTTTCATGATACAAATTTTAATTTTAATGACAACAAAAAGTATCACGCTAATGTTATTAATAATGGTTGGAATAATAGGGCATTATTTAAAATTAGCATGTCAGTAAATTATACGGATATTAATAAAAAGCTAATAATTCATATGCATTCCCGACATGAATTAATTGGCGATCAAAATGATAAGGGTGAAATACACCTACATAATAATGCCCGGGTCTATACTATTCACTATCGGGAAAAGGTTGTCAAATACATGGCTAACCATAGGTACCGATCCAATGGCCAATGTTTTACTAGTCATACTCGGGATGAATGTGTTATGGACTGTAAACGCAGTATATATACAAAAATGCATCAAGGTGTTTATAATGGATTTATGATGTATAGTAATATTAGTAATAAGTACCTAGATATGAATTTTCTACCTATGAAGGCATACGAGTACTTTAAACACGATGTTGAATCTAATTGTACTAGATCGTGCAATGTCAAAATTGATTGCGTTAAGCACTATTATTTTTTAAGCACAAGTCATACGGGTTATAGTCAAGGTAGGGGTGATAATGTCTACCCTGTTTTGGTGGACATACCCTCAGAGCCCACCACTGTCTACGAGATTTCGCTGAAGATGTCTGTCGAGGAATACCTGATACTTATTGGAAGTGTTGTGAGTCTATGGTTTGGATTCTCTATAATACTATTGACGGATGTTTTGCGACAAATACTATTCAAAGTTTATATTAAAGTTTCAAATTATGTTACAAATAATAACAATAATTTAATGTTTAAAACAGTAATAAATATACCGGTATTTAGAATAAATATAAATCGTGTGGACGCTAAATAATTAAATAAAAAAATATTTAAAAAGAAATTAAAAAGTGTTTATTAGGTAACTTAAATTACTTAAAAATTATAATCTTCAAACTTTTTCATTTTTATTCATATTTATAGTTGCATTAGATTCTTATGACATACTGTATATGTATTATATTGATTTAATTTAATCATACTTATTAATGTTTATTTTGTTGCAAAAAAAAGTGTATTTGAGTAAATAAAATTTAATTTTACTAATATTATTTATTATAAAAAATAAACAAATTACTCGAGATAAACATTTTCATTTTAGTCAACAAAAAACATTAAAATAATATTATTTATATTCAAGACTTTTGTAATAAAATAAATTATTATGATTCATAACTATTAAAAATACATTTAATGTACAATGGTTAATTATTTTAACTTATTTCCATATTTATTATGTTTATCTGGATGTGTGTATCAAACGTACAAGATAAGTTTATTATACTTTTCATACGAAACCACTACTAATATAATATACGAATTGGGGGATAGCCTAACACTACCGGGCATTACATTATGTAAAATAAAGCCTCGAAAATCAGCAAACAACTTTTTTCTACAAAATCTTAATGCAACCATCAAGGACATGTTTCAATCAATGCCACCAATTAACGAATGGTTTACATGTCGTGTTATTAACACCAATGATCAAGGTAATGTTAGTTGCGATTCAATTGCCAACTATAGACTATCATTGGGACGTGGAATACATTGCTTGACACTATTCGCGCAAATTAATGGCGAATCAAATGATCATTATAATATAGATAGAAATTCGTACCTGGGTATAAATATTAATGTATCACACGTTGGACGGGGTAGTGGGCCGTTGTCGTCCCGCGTAGCCCTACATTCCCGCTACGAAACGATATATTTTAAAAATAGTATACCACAAATCATGCCACCCTCGGTCACTTATAGCAAGATTACAGTCAAGCATATGTTCAAAATCAACGATAATATGTGCGGTTATCGCGAGTCGAGTCAGTATTGTATCGCCAAATGTATGGCTAATCGCACGCAACATATGCGCGAATACCCGGCAAACATGTTATGCTACGACCGGAACAGTAGTTTAAAAATATCCGATATGTCCGTAGATATAGATCGAGTCAGTATTGTATCGCCAAATGTATGGCTAATCGCACGCAACATATGCGCGAATACCCGGCAAACATGTTATGCTACGACCGGAACAGTAGTTTGAAAATATCCGATATGTCCGTAAATATAGCATACATGGATTATTGTCGTACTTTGTGTAAAAATGTCAATGATTGCATTAGGGAGTATTTTACTTATGAACACAAAGCAACCAGGATTAAATTACATGGTTATACAGTATGGCCCAAAGACGAGCCCACACTGGTGTACGAGATATCACTTAAGATGTCTGCCGAGGAATACGTGTGTCTTATGGCAAGTGTTGTGAGTCTATGGTTTGGATTCTCTGTCATTATGTTAACTCAATTTATACGACAAATGTGTGCAAAAATTACAATAATAAGAAATTTGCTAAACATTTTTAAAAATTGTAGTAGATGTATTAATAATTATTTATTTCAAACAGTTATAAACAAAAATACTATCAAGATAAATATGATTCAAAATCGTATAAATGTAAACAAATAGATATTTGAGCTAACAATGCGTTGAAAAACTGTAGTAGATGTATTAATAATTATTTATTTCAAACAGTTATAAACAAAAATACTATCAAGATAAATGTGATTCAAAATCGTATAAATGTAAACAAATAGATATTTGAGCTAACAATGCGTTGATTAGAAAGGACCTAGCTTATTGTAATTAAAACCTCTTGATTTACAATCTATTAGCATGGTATAATAACAATATATAAAAACGAGTCAGAGTTACAATATTAGGTATTAATGCACTTGACAGCAAAATGTATAGAGTTTTTATAGCGTGTCGACTCATATAACCACCGATTTGGACACCTAAGACATTTTCATAGTTTACCGGACCTGGATATTGTTATTATACCATGCTAATAGATTATAAAACAGGCGGTTTTAATTACAGTAAGCTAGAACATTTCTAGTCAACGCATTGTAAGTGTTATCTCACAAATAATCAATATGTTATATAATTAACTTTTCTATGCTTTTGACTAAATTATAAGCAATATTGTCACCATTGAGTATTTATGAAACTGGATTTACTTAATCTTAAATTTTTAGCTTATTTATTTATTTAATATTATAAACACTAATTCGATAAAATCATTAAAATATCCCATTGATTAATAACGTAATATAAATTCGAAAAATAAATAACAAAATTGAACTCTCACAAAAATAGTTAAAAATTGCCCATTTTAATTATTGAATAATAGATTTTGTAGATTTACTAGTAACGCATAATAATTGCCTTTAAAACATAATTAAAATTTATTGTCAAATATTTTCTAATATTTATGAGTTAAGCTTCAAAAATTCAAAAGTCTTGATCTGGTCACTCTAAATGTAAATTATAAGTTATACTGTACGACTCATAACTATCAGGTTATATTTTAATGTTTTCATAATAAATCAAAATGTTAATACACTTTTCTTAATATTATAATTATATGTAAGTACTTAATATAACTTAATATAACTAGTAATGTATTTTACTAATGAAAATAAGTTTATTAGCACGAACATGTTAGTACATACTGTAATCATTAAATATACTGTAGTCGTATATTATTTAATAACTTATTTCACAATAAAAACTACTTTTATATTTTCACCCAAACGTTATCACTTTCAAACAAAAACAAAGTTTATATCATTCATAGCAAGAAAATTATTAGAAACTAAACATTTTTAAAGAAAATGTTATCAAAAATTAACAAAAAGTTATTTCAAATAATTTGTTGCATACTATGTTTAATGGGATGTATGTATCAAACGTATAAAATAAGTGAACTATACTTTTCCTACGAAACCACTACTAATGTGCGGTTTATGTCCAGTAGTGAACGCATAACTCAGCCAGCATTCACATTTTGCACTGATAAACGTTACAACATTAAATGGAAGTACAGACACAACTTCACCATGC